GGCATAATTGGCATATGATAAACTGCACATATTTAAAACATAGAACTTGGTGGGTTTTGGCATCAGCATCACCAAATCAAGAGAATGGACATATCCATCCCACCCAGAAGTGTCCTCGAGCCCCTTTATAATTCCTCACTCCAGGCCCATCCCACTACCCTCCCCAGGCACTACCTTTTGTCACTATAGTTAGTTTGTATTTCCTAGACTTTTAAATGGAATCGTATAGTCCATACTGTTTTTTTGGTCTCCCTTCTTTCACTCTGCATAATTATTTTGTGACTTGTCCATGTTGCCTGTATCAATTCATTTCTTTTTATCTCAGTAGTGTTCCATTATGTGGATATGAGACAATTTGTCCGTTCACCTGTTCATGGACTTTTGGGTTGTTTCTAGTTTTTGACTATTACAAATAAAGCTGCTATGAACATTTGTGTACAAGTCTTTGTATGGACATATGCTTTCTTTTCTCTGGGATAAATAGTTAGGAGTAGAATGGCTGGATCATATGGAAGCCCCCAACTGCTTTCCAAAGTGGTTGCACCATTTTACATTCCCACCAGCAGGGTGTGAGAGTTCCAGTTCCTCCGCTTCCTAGCCAACCCTTCCTATGGTCATTCATTCTAATTTTAGCCATTCTAATAGATGTGTGGTGGTATCTGGTCATGGTTTTGATTTGCATTTCCCTAATAACTAATGATGTTCATGCACTTATTTGCCACTCTTATATCTTATTGGTGAAATGCCTGTTCAAATCTTTTGTCTATTTTAAAAAATTGAGTTATCTGTGTTGTTAGTATTGAGTTTTGAGAGTTCTTTATATATATTCTAGATAAAGTCCTTTAGCAGATAGAGGCTTTACAAAGATTTTTTTCCAGTTTGTGGCTTCTCTTTTCATTCTCTTAATGGTATCTTTTGAAGAGCAGAAGTTAAATTTGATGATGTCCAATTTATTGATTTTTTTTTGTTTTTATAGATCTTGCTTTTGGTGTTGTATCTAGGCAATCTTTGCTCAACCCAAGGTCACAAATATTTTCTTCCCAAAGTTTTATAGATTCTAAACTTAGATCTATAATCCATTTTGAGTTAATTTTTGAATATGGTGTGCATATGGTTCATGTGAGGTTCATTTTTCTTTTTTCTGCACGTAGATGTACAGTTATTCCAGCGCTATTTGTTGAAAAGCCTCCCCTTTCTCCACTGAATTGCCTTTTGCCACTTTGTAAGAAATCATTCCTCCATATATAAGAGGGTCTATTTCTGGGTGCTGTTCTGTTTCATTGATCTGGTTGTCTGTCTTTAAGCCAATACCACACTGTCTTGACTACTGTAGCTTTATACTGAGTCTTGAAATCCTTTGAATCAAAGTAGTGTTAGCTCTCCAACTTTGTTCTTCTCTTTCAAATTGTTTTGGCTACTGTAGGTCCTTTGCATTTCCATATGGATTTTAGAATTGGTTCCTGTTTCTAAAACAAAACCTGCTGGGATTTTGATTGGGATTGAGCCTTCTCTGTGGGTACTTTCTTCTGGAGTTGTCACCTGGTGGCCCCCTACACCAGGTGGCCGTGGGGTCAAATGAGTGACTGGATGAGAAAGTGCCTGCAGTCAGTAAAAGGAGAGGGAATTAGTATTTATAAAGCATTTTCGAAGACACTTTGCATTGACCTTAGGGTGTCAAGATGTGATTATTTTGGCTGATCCCGGGTCCCTGCTGAGGAATGCAGACCTGACAAATTCAAACATGCTTGTGGAAGTTTCCATTGCTTGTGGTCCTGGGTCAAGGCTTGGCAAAGAAACCGCCCTTCCTTCGGGAAAGTGTGCGTGGAGCCCTCCTTTAATCTGCTTGTGTCACCTGCCTTAGGTGTTAGCACTTGGGGTTCCACAGCTGTGAATGCATGCTGGCCCTGTGTGGAGCCACAGGAGACCCTGTGAGTGAGCACCAGGCAGGGATTTCCTTTCCAGAGCATTCCTTTGAGGAGGAGAGAGAAAAAGACTTGGTAATTGTGGCTGTGCCCGGGCTGGCTGCGTGTCTCTGTGTGTTCCTGGCCTTAACGTGTGCCTTGAAATCCCTCACCTCCTTCCAAAGGCGTGGTTTGTGGCAGGCATGGCTGTCTGAAGCCCCATGGGAGGCGCCCTCGCTTCCCTCCTCTTCCCTCAGATCTGCTTTTCAGTGAAGGTATCTTGCAGGGGACGCTTTGTTGGAGAGGAAGGGAAGGCTCTGAGGAAGCTCGGCTGTGCCGTTGCAGTGGGCTTTTCCGAGGACTGCTCACTTGAGGCTGCCCCTGGGGAGAAGAAGCTGTTAAACTGTCAAAATAAAAAGTCAGCCCAACTCCTTAGGCTAAGCGAGAGCACTTAACTCAGACGACAGGAAGCCAAAGCAACAGGTTTCCCTGCCATGCATTATAAGGGGAAAGGGCAGTTGGGGAATTTAAAGAATGGAGGAAAAGTTTTAAAATATGGGGATATACCCTGGTCAATAATACATTAAATTTGGGATTCATAAAAAGAAATGGTGGTGAAAATCTCCCCAAATAAGTTTTTATTCTAGAATCTGATGACAAGTCTCCTGGAGCACTGGTTATCCCGTAAGTGCGGTATTCTGAAATACAACCCGAGGCATATATATTGTCTAATAATAAAGTATTATGAAACCAATCAGCTGTGAGCTCCCCACTTGGCAGTTTGGAAGTAAAACTCTTTCTCCTTTACAAGGCCAAGTGACTCTTAATTCCTCCCAGGAGATTTCACGTTAAAATGTGTTCACTGCCAGCTGACAAAAGAGGGGAGTCCAGATTTATTACCCTGGCACCTGCAGCAAAAATATGACGGATGATGAAAATATATTTAATTATCATTCCATGCCACATCCCTGTCTGCTCCAGTCGCAGGGCTGCAGCTGTTGGCACACACTTTATTTTAAAGTCAATGTGCTTATCTGGAGCGAAGGCTGCTCTCTCTGAGTAAATTGACTTGTGGGAGGAAGGGGCTGGCCATCTCCTCTAGCCCCAGCTGAACAAATGCAGATTTGTATTCTGTGTGCCCGCTTTAATTGTCTAATCCACCCCACATCATATCAGCTCTGGGATTTGGCTTTTGTAAAGAAAACATTTGCAAGAAGTGAATTTCTCCGTGGCCTCTCTGAGCTGAAATGAATGATTTTCCTTCCAGGACTGTGAGGTGCCAGCTGATGGTGGGTGCTTGCATTTCTGCTGGAAGCATGGAAGTCACTGTTGGTCACGTCTCAGAGGAAAGGAGCCCTACAGAGCCCGTGGGTGGACCCTCTCCTTCACCAGATGGGGACCCTACAGAGTCTAGAAGGCAGGCTCAGAGTCTCGGAGGGTAGGAGGTCTGGGGCTGGAGCCTGGGCTCCCTGGCTCTCAGGAAGCCCCCGTGTTCTTGTGACTTGTCGCTTTGGGAGCTCCAGCTGTTTGGGATGATGAGCCTGAGCCTAGAGGAATACCCCAGAGAATTGCCCTCCTATTTGTCTTCTGTTAGAACCTTCCAGAAAACAAAACCCAGGGCAGAGCAGCAGCCCACTCCGACTTGAGTGGAGTGCATCAGATTTCTTGGAGTGAAGGCTGTGGGGACTCTGGCTTGGCTGTTGGAAGTCTGTGCCATTAGCCCGCGCCTAAGATGATGCAGATTTCCACAAAAATAGCCCAGATAATAGGCAGTATCTAATGTGGCAATTTTCCTGCTATATCTCTTCTTAGGAGAAGCCACTCGATGTTTTGTATATGGTGGGATTTAGTACAAAGTGATGGAATTTCCACTGAAAGTAAAATACAATAACTGGCTTAGCAGTTGGGATATAGGGAGAGGTGATGCTGAGTGTTTCTGACGTGCCTGGTGTTGCCGGTGGTCGGAGGCGGATGCCTGTGGATGGGGTGAGAGGGGATGAGGTTTCTGTGAATGTGAGCTGGCACAGGGAGGGGCTCATTTCCTCTGACCTTCTCTTTGATGAATAAGGATGCAAGATTGCATCTGCTGAGCCTGCAGGACCTGAGGCTGAGGGAGGAAGGAGAGTTCTGGCTTACAGTTTTGGGATGTGAGCAGAGCTCTTAGCCAGTGAACTTTCCATGCATTGATCAGATTTTGCCTGTAACCCAAAGAGAGGAGTCCATCCTCATCACCACTACCATCCCCATCATCATCACCATCTCCATATTCAACATCATTACCATTACCACTTATGCACCAGGCCCTTGGCTAAGTCCTTTAAATTCATCTCTTTTAATCCCTCGAGGCAGATATCGTTCCACCTATTTTACAGATGAGAAAACTAGTTCAGGTAAGTGACAGAGTGAGGACTTGAAGCCAGGCCCTGGAGCCCACTCTACTAATCATACTTTTCCATTTAGGAAATTTAAATAGATATATGTTTAATTTTATAGGATAAAGGAAGGGACGAGAAAGCCAACTCTAAGCTCTTTTCAAGAAAAAAGTATGAGAATGTCAACAGTTTTGAGATTGATTTCTTTCCCCGTGTGGCTGACAGCCCCTCAGCACCAGGACGAGGGCCCCTGAGAGAAAGATCAGCTGGGGTCCAGAGCTGTGAGGGGAGATGGAGGAGGTGCTGTGGAGTCCTAGCCCTGGGAACGTGAGAGAGTCACAGCCAGTGGTGGGGAGCCCTAGAGGGAAGTGCCAGCCTCTGTTCTATCCCGGCAGCACTGAAGTGGGACAGGGACAGGGCCCTTGGAGGTCTGGGGAGCAGACACTCAACCGTGCTGTCCCCCTGGGTCTCTGAAGCGGTGTCACTGCTGTCCCTCACAAGCACGGCCCTGCCCTTGGTGTGTGTTTGCCCTGTTGGTGTCTCCCAGGGGCTTGACCTTTGTATTTCTGGCCTTTCATGACCTCCTCTGGCACCCAGTGGCCCACTGGGGGCTCTGGGTTTGATGCTTGACTGTAGTGTAGACTGACCGGGATTGTGACTTCATCTTCATGGCTGAGTTGCTTGGACACGTGACAGAGTTGCAGCCACCAGAGCATGGGGGACATGCTGCATTCTCCTCTGCTGCCCTGCAGCTCCACGCTCACAGCAGGATCTTGGGGTTTATACCAGCTCCCCACCACCACTAGCCTGGCTGATCTGAGTCTCTCAGAGAACAGCTTCAGCAAATACTTGTTATGTGGCCGTTGTACTCCAGGCACCGGGAACCTAAGGCTTGGGAAAACTCAGGGAGTTGTGATGGCTCCCAGGACTGCCCTCACATTCACAGGAGTTGTTACCAGACCCTGGGGCCATTGGAACTTGAGGTTGTTGCCAGAGAAGCAGGCGTCTCCCATGTGGATTGTATCAAAGTCGAGGAGACAGGACACGTCATGACCAGCACATCAGGGTAACTATGGGCAAGAAATTAATACTGATTTTATTTCCTAGTGAGGCTGATGACTCTTCTTTCCACATTAATTTTTATTAAGCATTTTATGTATTATTCCAAAACCACAGAGTATGCAGAGACAGTTTAGAACACATTATGGGTTGTGCGTTTTGTAATTATCATATGGCCTCAGTCCAGAATGTAGAAAAGAAAATAAACACGATTGTTTTCCAATAGGAGGGAATCACCATGGTGATGTGTGGCTAGGCACTGGAGCCACTGGGACCGCCCACGGTCTGGGCTCAGGACCCAGTGCTGCCCCATGTATGGGAAAGTGGCGTTAGCTGGCCTCCTGCGGCAGCCTCCTGGCCCCTTGGCTCCTGGCTGCAGGGCTTCTGCTCAGCCCCAGTCCCTGTGGTGAGTCCCTCCCTCCTGGCCTTCTGCTGCCCAGCACCCTTTCATCCTCTGTGGACACATCACACAGGTCCTTCTTGCTGCTTAGGTCTCCCCTCAGGGAAGCCTTTCTCCTCTGCCCAAAACAAAGTAAACTCTAGTCGCTCGTTCTCACAGCACAAGGTTTTGTTTTCATTAGGGCACTCATTTACTCTTTGAGGGTTTCCTTAGCATTCATCTCCTCACTTCCATGTAAACTCCATGAGAGTGGGGACCTTATCTATTCATCCTAGTATCTCTAGCACCTAGAACAGCTCACAGCACATAGTAGGCATGCAACAAATAGTTATTGAATGAGTGAATGAATGTATCCTCTCCCAGACTGTGAGCTCCTCAAGAGCAGGGGACAGCCCTACCTCGGCCACATGGCCAGCACCAAGCATCCTGGTGCCTCTGCCTGTATCTGTGTGGAGCCTTGAACAGTCCAACCAGAGGGCAGGGAGCTCCTGCTGGGGGGCCACTGCTGGGCTAGGGGCTGCGTGCAGATCGTTCAGTATAAAGAAGAGGGCCGGCCCTGTGGCTTGGTGGTTAAGTGCGCGCGCTGCGATGCTGGTGGCCCGGGTTCGGATCCCGGGTGCGCATCGAGGCACCACTTCTCCATTCATCCTGAGGCTGAGTCCCACGTACAGCAACTAGAAGGATGTGCAGCTACGACACACAACTATCCACTGGGGCTTTGGGGGGAAAAAATAAAATAAAACAAAATCTTTAAAAAAAAAGAAGAGATGGGCTTTCTGGGGAGCCAGGAGTCCAAAATGAGTAAGATCCATGTTCTCTGGAGACAGTAGAAATCAGGGGTTCGATGGTGTGATGTGGATCATGGCAGGGAGGACAGAGAAGGCCATGGCAGGTGTCCATTCTGCAAGCGTCATCATCGTCTTTGTCTCCTTCTTCATCACCGTCATCACCCACTTCTTCCCATGCCAGGGCCAGGCCAGCACTAGCCCTACCTGCTCGTGGTGTCTGTGGCGCATCCTGACAGGTGGCTGTGGTTGGTCTCACCTCCCCTGGGAGAAGCCCACACAGCCAGTAAGTGCAGGGCAGGGAGAGTTCCCAAGCCCTCTCCTTCCTCCATCTGTGCCGCTACCTCTCTACTTACATCCCCCCAGGCAGTGTCTCACAGCTGTATGACTCCTAAGTCAGCTTCAGTGGTTGTCATGGGCACTGGGCACAGATGCGCTTGAAGCCTCAGGATGCCGTGGAGATCATGGTGTCCCCAAGGGAAAGATGTCCACGAGCCCCCAGTGGTCTGGAGTGCTCACGGGCCCAGCTCTCCAGCAGCTCTTTGCTGATCCAAGTCCCTCAGGGCTCAGACATTGGTGAGTCCATTCAGCAGCGGACAGCTGTGACTGGAGAGTTCAGGGACTTGATGCCTTCCTGTAGCTCTCCCAGAAGCTGACCCTGAGGCACAGATTTGGGTGCAAGTGGTTTGTTTGGGAGGTGGCCCAGTAGGCATCAATGACCAGTTGGCACTGTGGGCTCAAAGATGGCGAGAGCACACCACAGAGTGGTTCTAGTTGGGGGTGATGAAGCTGGGACATTGGTCCACCAGCTCCTGTCCCTCATGGGCAGAGGGTCACTCCTGGGGTGTTAGGGACCCAGCACTTCTGGGCAGTCCCCCAGGCTGACTGTGCCTGGCCTGAGAGCAGTGGTCAGGTGCTCAGAGTGGTCTGTGGGTGACCTCTGGACCAATGGAGGCAATATGGGTGGGCCAGACTGCTCTCTAACCTTGCCCAGCCAAGCAGTGCCCGGGATGGGCCAGAAGCCAGGTGTGGCCACTCTGGGTAAGGCCTTTCCAGGTGTGGCCAGGGCTCTTTTCCAGGACTCCAGAGGAGAGGTGGGAGGCTTGAGTCTTGATAAATTCAGCCACCAAAGAGCCTGGAAATGAGAGGAAGCATGCCAGTGACGGATGGCAGAAGCTGGCCTCACTGGAGCAGCGTGGCTAAGGGGTGGGCGTGGGGCTGTGCTGCTCTTGCAGGAGGAAGCCTTGCCCAACAGGGTTCCACTCGGGGGCCTGTGCCCCTAGGGACTCCACAGGCAACATGCAAGCCTGCTTCTGTGCCCTGATTCTCTTTTCACTTTTTAAACAAAATCTCATTTTATAAATGGTTTTCTGCATATTACAAGTGCTGTTCGCAGAGCTTACACCCTGTTTCATAATTGGCCCATACAGTACACCCTGTTCAGAATTTTTAATCAACTATGGCAAGTTGCCTCAGCAATTTAAATAAAAAGTATATAAATGAATTTAGTATTTTAATATTACAGTGACATTAGCCTTATATATGTACTTAGCAATTTCATGCAGTATTACAATTTTATAAACTACTCCTCTTGGTTTGGCTGGTGGATAAACCCCGGAGTTAAAACCATGCTCTCTTTTGCAACCAGCAGAGAAGGGAGTGAGCTCAGAAGGAAGAAAGCAGCCTGTAGGCCAGGCTGGGGGCTGCCCTTGTCTTCCAGTGATTCCAGTGTGCACAGCCATCGAGGGGCTGCACTGGGCAGGGTCTGTATGTGCTGGTAGGTGGGACTTCAGCCGGGTGGCCTTGGGCACACCCTGACTCAGAGGGCTGCCAGTGGGCCAGATCCTGCCAGGGACGCCCCCAGGACATACCTGGGAAGCCTGCTCCATGCTGGGTGGGGCACGGGGCGGTGCCTCTGAGCAGAATGAGAGCATTAATGCAGGGGGACCCAGCCCTCCCAGCTTCTAGTAATTTCCATTGAGGGCCTCCAATGTGCTGGGAAGTGTGCTGACCACTCTGCAGACATTATCGCTTGTCAAGGTCACCAGTGACCTGCCTGTGGCTGATGCAGTGGTTGGTCCTCATGTCACTTGACCTACAAGCAGCATTTGACACGGCTTGATCTCTCCTTCCTCCCTGAACAGTCCACTTGGCTTCCGGGACACAACAGTTTCTGGTTTCCTCCCACCTTGGCTGTGGCTACTTCTTCATCTTCTCTGGTGGCCTCAGGGCTCAGCCCTGGTCCGCTTCTTTCCCACTGACTTCCTTGGGGCTGCCATAGCCTGGAACGTTGCTGCTCCCAAGGTGGAGGGAAAGAGGCTACGGAGCATCACACATGGCGACACCTAACTCCAGAAGGCAAGGAAGTACAACTTGTCATGTGCCAGAAACGGGTGGTGGCCACTACTAGTGACTTCCAACCTCCCAATTCTTTTTCTACTTCTGCCCTTGCCTCCTTGCAGTCCCGTCTCTACTCCGTAGCCAGAGTGATTTTTTAAAAAATCATTTTGAATTGTGGTGAAATATGCATAACATAAAATTTACCACTTTAACCGTTTTTGAATGTGCAGTTCAGTGGCATTAAGTACATTCACATTTTTTCTCAACCATCGCTACCATTCGTCTCCAGAACTGTTTTTGTCTTGCAAAACTGAAACTCCGCATCCATTAAACATTAACTCCCCCCAGCTGCTGGCAACCACCATTCTGCTTTCTGTCTCTGTGAATCGGACTACTTGAGATACTTCATAAAGCAGAATCATACAGTATTTGTCCTATTGTCATTGGCTTATTTCACTTAGCAAGATGTTTTCAAGGTTCATTCATGTTGTAGCATGTCAGAATTTCCTTCCTTTTTGAGGCTGAATAACATTCCATTGTATGGATAGACCACATTTTGTTTATCCATGTATCTGTCAATGATTGACACTTGGGTTATTTTCACCTTTTGACTATTGTGAATAATATGTTCTATGAATGTGGGTGTATAGATACAAAGTGCTTCTTTTAAAACACAAGTCACCATGACAGGCCACTGCTCAACCATGGCCTTCCAGTTCTCTCCTGGAGAAGCCCAAGCCCTTATGATGGTGCACCAGGACATGTCTGCCCTGCCTCATTCACCCCTCTCCTCATCTACTCACCCCCCTGTGGCCGTGCTGAGCTCCCTGTCTTCCTCACACACACAGGCTCACTCCTGCCTTATGGCATAGGCTATTCCCGCTGTGCCCTAAGCCCAGGACCCAACTCCCTGAGAGCCTCTTGATTTTCTCCTTCATCTGCCTCAAAGCTTTGTTGAGTGATACATCTGCCCTGATCACCTTAGTTAACGGGTCATGCCCCTCTTCTGCACTGCAAATCCTCCTGACCTGGTTCTCCTTTTCAAAATAGTATTTATTACCTTCTAGCATACTATATAATTTACTTTTTTATTACATTTATTATCTGTCTCCTACTCTTAGAGGGCAGAGATATTTTCTATTTTGCTAATTTGTGTTTCTTGAGCACCTAGAACAGTACTTGGTACATAATAGGTACTCAATAAATACTTGTTGAATGAATATATGATTCATTTTTTGTAACAGCTTTATTATATAATTCATATAGCATACAATTCACCCATTAAAGCGTAAAATTCAGTGGGTTTAGTATATTCACAGTGTTGTACAACCATCAGCACAACTAATTTTTGAACATTTTCATAACCCCCCAAAGAACCCCTTTAGGTGTCACTCCCCAATCTCTTCATCCCTAGGCAACCACTAATCCATTTTCTGCCTCTATGGATTATCCTATTCTGGACATTTCATATAAATGGAATCA